TTTTATTTTTATTTCTTGTATTCATGTTACGTCTATCACTACTTTTTTGAAAAAAAAAAACTATTTATATTTTCATAAATGCACTGCAACGCTAAAGTAAAAATTTTATTCCAATTTGTTATTCAACTTGTCCAGGGAAATACTGCCACCTTACCGCACCTATTTCTGCCATCAAGCAGAGCAATGCGAGTATTACTGCGTTTCGGTTTTGAAGAGTACGGATGCTGGTGAAATTACAGGCACATGGGACTTATCAACTTATGCCTCAGGCTAACGGGCGCAGTGGTAGTGCCACTCAGATCTTTGCGATTTAAAGCTCTAAGCGTATTATGGATAGACGTGTCGCTTACCACTAGGCGCACGACTTGTTCGTCCCATCCATTGACTTACAAATAAATGGACGACGGGTCTAATACAAAAAGCACGAAAAAAATATCCCAAGTCGACCTATTTAAACGTAGTGACATGTAAAGGAATATGAAAAAGCTAAAACGTTGAATTTAAATTGTAATGTCATCGCAGTACTGTCTAATTTTGCTTGCTTCGCTGTCAGTCAAACAAACGAAGACTAAAGCGTGAATGACGCTCTCTATACGATTTTAACGCCCTATAAGTTCGGACACTTTTTAGCGCGTACCCGACGTCCATATAATTGTAAGTCAATGGTCCCATCACTTGATATTATAAAAAATATTCCTTTTTAATTTAAGGATATGCTGTGGTATTTAATTTCTTTAGACATATCTCAAGAGACAGACAGAGAGAGATGTGAGACAACATAGGGAATTACCTAATCGCACATTTTTACCGTGAAAATAGCTAAAGTGCTTCTCAATCCAGTGGTTTTACTTATGAGAGTATCCAGAGCGGAGCCGTCAATTTAGTTACCGCCTATCCAATTGCAATTTAACATCCAAAGTTATACATTGAGGCATATCAGCGCACAAGTGGCGTAACCTACATTCTACATTTTTTCTACAATTACTTTTACTGAAGTATAAATATTTTATATTTGGATGCTATTTTCATGTCTAAAAAATATTTAATTATTAAATTTTAGGAAAAATTGTATACATTAACACTTTTGCACTGGTAGCCTCAATTATTGATACAAATATCGGACAAATGTAACGAAAATTTTTTTCGATCCAAGTGGACTTTTTTTTACGGGGGGAAATCTTTATAGATACCCCTAAGCCCAGGGAGGCTGCAATGCTGTGCAATGCAGGCTCCGGAGTCTCTGTCCAGAGCCCGCTGGCCTCACTAGGGGATCAGGCGAGCAGCGAACTGCCTTCGCCTTCTCCCCGTACGTCTGCGCCGAAGCGGGTGTGCGTCCGCCGCGTCCTCGCGCACCCGCTCTGCAGCCTCCTTTTGCGACATAATCTCTCCGCAAAAGGAGACCACCGCCTCCCAGGACTCCTCGCTACCGAGCGTGGCGGCAACCACGCTCGGCAGCGAGAGGTCCTGCCCTATTGTCCCCGTCAGGGTACGGCGCTGCTCATCCCACCGGCTGCACAGCTCTAGGGTGTGCTGCGCTGCTGCTGGTGTCATATGCAGCGCCGCATTCGTGGCACGACGGGGACGGTACCCTCCTCGCCACCTTGTGTAGGTAGTGACCGAAGCAGCCATGCCCGGTCAGCACCTGCACAAGGTGGTACGACAGTGGCCCGTGGGATCGGCTCACCCACTCTACGAGGACAGGACGGATCGCTCCTATGGTGCGAGCTCTATAGGGGGATCCGCCAAGCCCTCTTTCCATCGGTCCCGCATGCGCTGCGCTGCGAGTCGGCGCTCCCACTTGACCTCTTGGGGAGCAGGTCGCTCGCCTCGGTCCGCCATTCCCTGCCGGTAGGCGTGGACCTCCGCCAGGACCTTGGCTTCAAGGCCCCACAGCGGAGTACTGGCGAGGACGCATGCGGCATCGCAGGCCACCGTCATGTACGCCCTGCACAGCCAAAGCTGAGGCCTCCTCAGCAGCGGTTTCGTCGCCGCTGATAAGGCCCCACTCCAAATGGGAGCCCCGTATAAGGCCATACTTCGGGTCACCCCGGCGTATAGCCTTCTGCAAGGGGCTCCCGGCCTCCCGAGATTGGGCAGGAGCCGACCCAAAGCCGATGCGGCGCCCACGATTCCATCGCCGGTCCGATCCAAGTGGACCTGACTGGACCAACTGATCCAGCCGGATCGAACGAATTTTTCTAGATCAAATGATCCAGTCAAGTCCAGAATTTATCTTTGTGTTTGTTCGATCTTTGTATGAATAATAATAACGAACTAGTGGAGTATTTTCACAAAAATATATTCAATGAATATATATCATGATATTCAATAAAAACAAATATTGCATCTAAAGTTGTAGCTAAAGATATTACTCTATCTACAAGATTATTTTTTATGATATCAAGTGACGGGGCGAACAAGTCGTGTGCCTGATTGTAAGCTACACGCCTGTCCATAACAGTTACGGCGCACTCAGAGCTTTAAATGGCAAATATCTGAGGGGCACTGCCACTACGCCCGACACCCTGAGATATAAGTTAACAAGTCCCATGTGCCTGTAATTTCACCAGCACCGGAACACAATAATGCTAACGTTACTGTTTGGCGGCAGAAATAGGTAAGGTGGCAGTACTTCCCTGGACGAACTCTTTCACAAGGAGCTGTACTACTACTTTTCGATTCTTACTGTGATGTTGTGCCTATCTGTCTGACAATTACTACTACTTACTACTATATACTACTTAAATCACATGAAATATTTTTTAATAACCAATCTAACATGACAGTTGCTTGTTCAGCTCTACCAGCTAAGGCGATTATCACACTGCACCGCGCCCCGCTACGGAGCGCGAGACGCGTAATCATGCGCGGCGGTGGCGGAGACGCAGATCTGTGTCAACGCGCGGTTTAATCAGCGCAGGGACAGCGATCTAGCGGCCCCGCGTCACTTAGGCGATTATCACACTGCACCGCACCCCGCGACGGAGCGTGAAGCTGCGTTTTTTAACGTTGTTCTGAAGTACCTCAGTGTGTATGGAAAACACGCGCCATCGAACACACTGACAACGCTTCTCCGGCGCGCGCCGTGTTACCGTGGCCCCGTGCGGAGGGGCGCGGCGTACCGCAGGGTATGGCACACTGCGCTCTGCACTGCCGCGCAGATTTTTAAGCTTAAGGACATATTCAGTTTTCTACAATAGATCTCGACGTCGATATATTTATATTTGCTATTGAAAATCGACCAAATTTATCTTCATATTTTCTTAAATGTTTGTAATGAACTTGAAGTTATCCATTTATCGATCTGGTTCGAAAACAGGGATATATCCAATATCTTCGGTGTCTTTTTATTTGAGTTAACAAAACCCAAGTAGACAGCATAACTGCAGCGTCCTGAATGAGTTCTGTAGTATTAACCATTCTTGTCAAAGAAGAATCTCGGCTACATATACAATCACTACGGCGATCAACTGCGAAGCGAGTCTTTAAGTGACGCGGGGCGGGGCCGGTAGACCGCTGCCTCCGCCTTAATTTTAAAGTTAATCGCTTCGCAGTTGATCGCCGTAGTGATTGTATACGTCGACGAGATTCTTCTTTGACAAGAATGGTTAATAATACAGAACTCATTCAGGACGCTGCAGTTATACTGTCGATTTGGTTTTTGTTTACTCAAATAAAAACACACCTAAGATATTGGATACATCCCCTTTTACGATCAATAAATGGATAATTTCAACTTCATTACAAAGATTTAAGAAAATATGATAAGAAGAGAAAGGCAAATTTGGTCGATTTTCAATAATGGTGAAGCGTTGTCAGTGTGTTCGACGGCGCGTGTTTTCCATACAAACTGAGGTACAACGTTAAAAAACGCAGCTCCGCGCCCTGTCGCGGGGCGCGGTGCAGTGTGATACTTGCCTAAAATGATAAATAAATCTTATTACACGCCAATCCCTCAAACGGTTCGCGTATTACATTGACACAAATGTAATTCCCTAACAATATACGCGTGTGGAAGCCTGATCAATATTTTTTTCTAGATCAGTGTACATTTTACTACTGTAAAATACGTCAAAATACATCAGTGTTTTTTGACATATCTAACACGATTACAGCTACATCTTTAGACATGAATGATGAATAAGCAAAACAATTCATCATCATCAGCGTCAACCTATTTATACGTCTCACGACCGTCTATCAGGCGAGTCCAATGTCCGGGCGGCGTCGTGGTGAATGTTCACTGATCCCACGGCGCCGACTCAACCGGCGAGAGGGAAACCCGGGGGGGTTTTAGTGGGGTAGGTCCTCCAGTCTGGAGGGAGAGTCCCCATATAACCCCTGAGTCTCCCTGGGCTCAGGGGCATCCATAAAGATTTTCCCCCGTCAAAAAAAAAAAGGCGAGTCCAATGTGAGTTGGACATTTCACACGTTTTCGATGGTTGAGAATCTTCTTCGATGCGCAGGTTTTGTCACGATGTCTTCCTTCACCGAAAAACTGATGGCAAATTCCAAATTAAATTTAACACATAAATTTCGAGAAACTCAGAGGTGCGAGCTCGCATTGGAACCCACGGCCTCTGATTGGAGAGGCGGTAGGTCAACCGTCTGTACGGTTTAAAATAATTTGCAATAAAGTTATTCTGAGACTCTCGCCTCTCCCGTGGCATAAAAGAAATTGCTATATAGCAATAAGGCCGCCTGTTACACATAAACTTAATGCTACTATTATACTTAAGCTATTGTATTGTATTTTAATTGTAATTTTATGAGCAATAAAGAATATTTCATTCATTCATTCAAGATTAATTTTAGTGTATAAATGGAAGAGGGAGTATTTCCCGGCAATGTCAATTATTATTATTAGATTCGATTACTAAGAGTTACTTATGAACCCAATTGGTGGATACCTATTTCACTTATTAAGGCTAAATGGCATTGTTCTTTGGGGAACTTGACAGCAGATTAGTAATATCAGTTATTTCTGTATTTTTTGACAGACAGCAACTTCGTGTTGGGCAATGCTCAAGTGCCGGCATACCCGATCGTGTACTGCTCGGACGGGTTCTGCGAGCTGACGGGGTGGGCGCGCGCACACATCATGCAGAAAGGTTGCGCGTGCAAATTTCTCCACGGGCCTGACACCAGAGAGGAGCATCGCCATGAAATCGATGCAGCACTTGATTCCAAACATGAACTCAAGCTGGAAGTTATTTTCTATAAGAAAAGTGGTAAGTTAGACTCATTTTATTAATATACCGTCCATCAAAATGAAAATTCTACGATCATTGCTCATTATGAAAGGAATTAATAAAAGGTAGATACCTATTGTTGACAAATAATATTTATAATATTAAACATTGAAATACGGATTTTTAATTCTCATGAAAATCACAATCTGCCCTGAAATCAAGGGTGCTATTAATTCCTCTTCAAAAAGAATGCTGCCATTTGATATGGGTTCCGGAAATCAATTTGTAAAATTACGATCCTCTTCTCTTTGACTTCGACATCATTACATTTGTAGGGACATTTTTTGTACTCCCCAGTAACAAGCTTGACGGACGGAGAACCAAACTTTTGACGGAAATGAGTTTCTCACTCAACTCGGGTTTGCCATTAATGGTTTTAAAGACGTCGTCCACTCTGCAATCGTAAACAAAAACCAATAAGGGGGTTTACGATTCCATTCGGTAAAATTAAACTTTTTCAAGTACCCAGCTGTTGGTCTTCACCGAGGTTTACTGCTTACGACGACGACACCGTTGCGTACACGAAACTACGCGAAAATAGTAAAGCGCGGTGGGCATGTGACGTAACCTTCAAATTGATTATTTTCTTTTAGCTGAGCATATCGGATAAATACCTTCGGACCTTAAACCATAGTCAATGCGATGGCGCGCTTGAGCTTTTGAATTTCAATACAAAGGCAATTCACATTCATTTAAATTTACAGGAACCCCGTTCTGGTGCTTACTTGACATCGTCCCAATTAAGAATGAAAAGCGAGAAGTGGTTTTATTCCTTGCCTCTTTCAAGGACATCACCAATACTAAGATGGCAGCCATGAATACTAACGAGGACTTTGATAGCGGTAAGTATCTTTATAAAGATGGCACTCGAGTTTTTTAAAGCAACACAAGCTATAGACTTCCAAGTATCTGTATCATTTTGTGGCCTTGCTTTGAGGCGGTTTAATAAAGATGTTTCCGATTTGTGCATTTGTTATATCTACCTAACATGAATATACCAACATTTATATGAGCACGTTGTTTTAGTGCTATAGGTAACTCGATAATACTAGCGTTAGATTCAGCCCGGTAGCTCCCCGTTGACCGTAGCTGGCCGTAGCGAGACATCACAGCACGGTAAAGTTCCTTCCGAGTGTTTGTAGTTGTACTACATTATGTAGAGTTTTGAATTATTTTAAATTTTGATTACCATAGTTAGACATACAGACAATGTCTACTATCGGTCGTATGCCAACACGTCATATTACACTAGCCGATCTCACAAGACAACTCTCCACTTTTCTACAAATACTAATAATAATAATGCTAATCTTTATTTCATGACAAAAATCGTATATCTAAATATCTATCTTCTTGTGTGTAACTCGCTCTACTTCTGAAAAGGTATTTCAAAGAAATTCCCTGTTATTGGTACATATTAAATGAACATTCATTAACAAAAACATTAATTTTTGATTCAGCATTTACGTACTTACTATACTTTTCTAATCGAACTAATCAAACTGGTTCTTGCAGCTAATATGTATATCTTTCCATTAATTTTACCATTGTATTTTACTCACATTTTAAATTAATTACACGGTAATTTTCACAAATTTCACGTTTTTAATAAATGTCGTAGTGCCGTAGCTGTTTAATACCAATATAAATCTTATATGTTACGAACTAGTGTAATAATGGGTATGTTTCCATTAAGCCTGTTCATTAATGCCATGTATATAACTCAACTATAAATAACATTATTATAAGATAGAGTTATTAATTTTCAAATTTGCGAACAAAGGCAGAATTATGGTGTTGCGGTTAGCCTAAACACTGCAACTGAATACTACCATCACTAATGAAATCGTAGAATAATCAGCATATAGACTATAGTTTCTGAAAATAGTATTTGTTTAATTCAAATTATTCACGGTCGGTTATGAAAACCCGACATTTTCAAGTTGGTAATAACCAGTTAGTTAATTTTTCAATCAATTTTCTACTCCACCGCAAACTTTTGTGAACAAAACGGTACCTTAATTGACCTTTTTAATTGAAGCATAACCAATTTTTTTACATCTGTTAATTTTTCAATACAATCACTGGTATATTACGAGTAATAATTGAATTGGGTTGGTTACGCTAACTAAAATAAACACTATTTTGTTTTAACGAGACGAAACCTCTATGTTTGTTCAGCTGCGTGTGGTAGCTTTGAATATGTATAAATCACTATTTTGCGTTTGCAAATTATTGTCAAGGGCAGTGCCAACTAGAGATAGATCTTCTGTTAGACAGATGCCTTGCTTTTGTAAAAAGTGCTAACATGTACATTCTCGAAGAGGAAATATTTTATAATCAGTGCGTATAAATACTGGCAAACTCCAAATGAAAACAGTAGGTAAAATTTAAATCAACCAACAAAATTTAAGTTCGTATGGAAGTTTTATCAGAATCTATAAATATGCAAATATACATTTTGAAATATGAAAGTAATTTGAACAAAGTCTTGTTCTGTTCTTATACAATACAAAGAAGTTAGACATCCACTGGCTTCGCTCAGTCTAATGCATGCTTTAAAAATTTTAATGTGTACATAATTTTTGCAAGGTTTTCAATTGATACTTTTTTGTTCGTGTTAATGTTTTCGTATTTTCTCATTTTGTTGTACGTATGTTTAAGTTAGTAGACAGGAGTCATTTGTATTTTATTACGTATTATAACGTTAATGTTATTGACAGTGTGAAGCTGTTTCTATGTGACTGACTTATATCCGCTTAGCTGGCGTTATCAAGTGCCGAGGTTACCAAGTCAAAGAAAATTCATACAATTACTGTCACGGTTTCACAATTTAAACAATATAACTTTGAAATATAAGTGCCATATATATTCATTATCCTATATAACATATATCATATAACTCCTATCTCTTCGTAATGATCTTGTCGAGATTGATATATTTTATGATGTATTTTATGGTTATAGCAAAAACGAAAAGCGCTGAGAAGCAATTAATCTGTACCTCAGTTCTAACCGCAGTTTATTCCAACTAATAATGATGCCCGTTATTTAGCCTTCCCAAGACTTACCTACATTTTTCTCCGATAACGATCTTGTTTGTTGTTTCTAAGCACTCAGTGAATTCGTAGAATTTTCTCTAACTTTGAAACCCATTTTGTAGTTTTATAGCATAATGACCTCTAGGCAGAGATTTCTCGCGTAGGTACATTTCCGTTAAAATAAATAATCCCCGTTTCTTGAGAGGACTTACTTAGAATTTCATTCATGTATTCTTAGCGAGCGGACTTAATCACAATTATCTTTCAATCCTATCGGAGGAGTAAATTACGTTGGGAAATCTCTCCTAATTCTAGAGCAAAAAAAATGTTTTATCTCCTTTTAAGGTTGTTTTAATTCATTATTACTAGTGCATGGTACAAATCAACAATATTTTAATAATAAATCGATGTGAGTCCCTGCTAATTAGTTTGCTACAACACTGCTTTTGCAATCATGGTCGGACATCACGGTAGCATCAAGCAACATTTCTCAGTCGCCATTTCAATGATGGGGTCACAAAATATTTCATATTTTTCTTTGACATTTTGGATACTTTTTTATGTGCGCCCCGTATCCTACAAACCGGCCCTGTTTGCAGAAGCCACGAATATCATCTTGTTTCCATGTATGTACCATGAGGTAGTGGTTATAGCTGGCGATCGGAGATAATAACCGGGTGGTTTGTGCACGCAGGAGCCGCGGTGCGGCCTTCGGCTGGTGTGGTCACTCTAGCGTTATCCCCATTTGTACCCGCAGCGGCACTTTTGGGCGCCCGGTTCCGCGCTGAATCTAGTTGCCTACTTCCAGACCCGAATGGCAATCTTGACCCCGAAGCGCCGTCGCCCGCCAACATGGGCAGACGGCGATCTAGGGCGGTACTATACCAGCTTTCAGGACATTATAAACCAGATAAAACGAAGACAAAATTAAAACTCAACAATGTTAGTAAGGTAACATTATTAACACAATATCAATTGTATATTTTTTGTAGCTAAACCAGACATGTTTTCAGTTAACCTTATCTTCCTGAGGTTATACAATTCATAATTTAATTAAGTACGTCATGATTTCGCGCCCTAGGTGTAATAAGGCCACATCTGCAAAATTACAATTTCTTAGAAGACAGTTTTAGAGGCTGCGAACGAAATTTCGCTTATTTGGTGCTACATTGATGTAATTGTAATTTTGGCAAATTTGGATAAAGGATGTTAATACGTAATTAATTAAGTCTTAATTCAATTATGCCAAAATTGCAATTAAGTCAATGTTGCACTAAATGAGCGATTTGTCGATAACTTTTTGTGTTTAAATAGGGTAATTATGAATTCTATATACATAACTTGTTTCATGTAGTTTGTATTATTTTTATGACTTTCATGTTTTGACGTATGATCACATGTGGCTTAATTATACCAAGGGTAAGATTTGTTTATTTATTAGTAATAATAAAATGTATTATTTTTTAGAATTTGCTTCACTCATCGGACCCACCATTGCCCGAGTACAAAACATCGGCAATAAAAAAATCTAAGTTCATTATATCACACTACGGCCTGTTTAAAACTTTTTGGGACTGGTTAATCTTAATAGCAACTTTTTATGTGGCTGTGGTGGTGCCATACAATGCCAGCTTCAACGCTAAAGAAAGAATTAGCCCTGTCATGGACGTTGTGGTTGAAGTATTTTTCATATTCGGTAAGTTACACTTGAGAGCAAGTTACCCATGGCGACTTTTAGCAGCGCGTTTGCAGCGATGCAGTCGCTACTCGTCTACCTTTACACACCGCGGCGATACAATCGCGATGTTCGTTTTTGTTTTTTTTTTTATAATACTAAGTGACGGAACGAACAAGTCGTGCGCCTGATGGTAAACGACACACCTATCCATAATAATTGCAGTGCCGCTTAGAGCTTTAAATCGTAAAGAACTGAGTGGCAATACCACTGCGCCCGTTAGCCTGAGACATAACTTGATAAGTCCCTTGTGCCTGTAATTTCACAAGTATCCGTAATCTTCAACACCGAAACGCAGTAATACTCGCATTACTCTGCTTGGCGGCAGAAATAGGTAAGGTCTAGGCACTGCTTCTAAAATTATAAGGGACTACATCTACAGGAGCGCGTTTGCATCGATGTAACTCCCGCTATAGTGTCGCGCTGTCGTTTGTATCGCTGCTGAAAGTCGCGGGCGCGCCGTGGATAACCGCTCTAAATACATGTTTTTCTTACTAACGGTGCCCAATCCTTGTAAAATTAACTAATATCAAGTTCATTTTAGAAGTACCTAAGCACTTAATATTTCTTTTTATTTCCATCGGCGATTTCTTAATTTGCGAGTCGAAAAAGTTTTATTGGAATTTTCTTTACAGATATAGTACTTAATTTCCGGACGACGTTCGTGAGTAAGAAAGGTGAAGTCGTGTCGGACTGGAAAGCGATAGCCCTTAATTACATCCGGACTTGGTGCGTGGTCGATCTTCTAGCTGCTCTGCCATTCGATATACTTTATTGGTCCGACGTGTACAGCATATCAGTAAGTAAATAATACTATAAGTTAGTCACTCTGAAAATATTATAGCAAAACATGACGCAGACTTCGTTGAACGAAAATTCCATTAATTGTAGGTACTATGATTATCGAGTTAACATAGGAAATGAAACAATTTTTTCGGTTCTAAACCGCGTATATTAATTAAGCGTCATTTTAAATTTTAAAGTTTGTTATTTCTGTAGTATACGTATATAATGAGTGAGGTACCCTCCTATTTACATAATATATAATAGAAAAGGTACCCGTCTCTATATGTATCTCCAGTGGCGAATACTTGTCAGGTGAAGCCTGAAAAACAACAAATTTCTGAGACTTTTACCTTTTCATCGACATAGATTTAAGCATTGTTTTATCTTAAATATTACTGTATGTTTTCTGTTCAAGAATGTCTTTTTATTTTATTAATTTATATATTTATATATTTGTTTTTTCAAACAAACCATAGTTTCGAGTCCTTTGCAGGACTCATCGTCACGTGTTACTGATCAGATAAACGCGATTTAGATCCGAAAAAAATATTTTAATTTCTTACGTATTATTATTTTGTAGGATTACTTTGGTCTATTGTTAGTAAATTAACACGTTGGAATCTTCTAGATAAGAATCATGTAGATAGCGTGTTATGTATTTGCTTATTTACGCGTATCTATTCTCGTGTGCCTATTAAGACAGACATGGGTGTTAATTTCTCACTCCATTAAGCTAGTTCTAATACCTAACCTTGGGATGGTTGAGAAGATATCAACAATGTTTGTTAACTTGGAACGTTATCTAATCATGATTTAAGGTCGGCCATCTTTAAAGCACTACTTTTTGATAATGTAATACAAGGTTAGTTTTTAGTGAACAGTATTTATTAGAGTTGCAACGAATATTCGGTTATTTTTCGGTATTCGTTTTATTAGGCCTATTTTTTGCTATTCGGCCGATAAAAGAATATTGAATCACTATTCTGCTGAAAAACAGGAAGAAGAAATAAAAGAAAACGGTAAATTATCATGTAACTAATATTAATGCTGAATATCCATAAGTTCGAGAAAGTACAATTTTTCGCTTATTTATTTAAAAGATCAAAGGTAACGTAACTAAGTTATTTTTCTAAGAAATCGATAAAGGAAATAAGACGAATGAAAATTATCTTCTTTTATGTAGTTTACTCGTGACTAAATAAACACTCAATCAAGTATTATTTGCAAACCAAAATAAAATGATTTATGTGATTTATTATATATTTATTTATTATATTTTTTTCAAGTTTAGTAGCAGTAGCGATTCTTGTGAAAGAGTGTGTCCAGGGAAGTACTGCCACCTATTTCTGCCGCCAAGCAGTAATGTCAGCATTACTGTGTTTCGGTTTTGAAGGGTGAGGGTGCTAGTGAAATTACAAGCACATGGGACTTGTCAACTTATGTCTCAGGGTGACGGGCGCAGTGACAGTGCACCTCAGATCTATGAGATTTAAAGCTCTGAGTGGCACTGTAACTGTTGTGGACAGGCGTGTAGCTTATCATCACTTGATATTAACGGGACTCGTTTGTCCCGTCACTTGATATTATAAAAAAAAGGTTAGTGAAACTGAAATTAATTAAACAATGACTTTCTTATATAAAGTACCGTAAATTTAAATTATAAACTTGACAATTAAGTTACCTTTTTGTTTTATTGTACAAAATTATTTATCATAACTTTTTTAAATTCAAATGTAAGTGTGCATTTGGGCTCCATTTCACCTGATTGAAAGTGATGATGAGGTCAACGATGGAGCATGCACACCTAAATAATGCCTATTCACTCTCGCCTTAAAAAGGCTTAAGTTATAACGTTCAGGGAACAAGTCTGCAGGCAGGAAATTCCACTCCATAGCCGTTCGCCATATGAATGTGGAAGCGTAACGCTTCGAGCGAATCTTTGGAATATCCACAACATAGGGGTGGTAGGGGTGGTAGCTAAGCCTACGCCTAGTCCCCCGATGATGGAAAGGGGAAGACGGAATTAAATCGTGTAATTCCATCGCACACTCTCCGTGATATATCCTGTAAAATACCGATAAGCAGGCAACTTATTGGCGGTGTTCAAGGCTCTGCAGCTTCGCTTCTACTAATTCCGAGTCACCTATAAGCCTCTTGACACACTTGTCAATTGAATCCAAGGTGGTCAACTGGTGTGTAGCAGAGCCATCCCAAAGGTGCCAGCAGTACTCCATACACGACCGGACTTGTGCTTGATACAGCTGAAGCAACTGTCCTGGTGTGAAGTAACACCTCACCTTGGAAAGGATGCTAAGCTTCCTGGCTGCATTTTTGGCCATGGATTCAATGTATCTGCCGAAGTTCAGATTGGACGACGGGTCCATTCCAAGTACCTACGCTGCACCTACAGCGTATTCCTATGTAACTTTTATGATTGTCTACAAAACGCGATGTTTCTAAGCGATCTTTTCTTTTGACAGTATTACCATCATTACCATATGTGTAACAATCGCGGAAACCTAAAAACTCGACTAGTAATAAATATACTGAAATATGCAATTTATAGCTCCAACGAACGAATGTTTTTCTTCACATAACTTCAGTTTTATAACGTTTTATGTTCTGCATGTCAGAGAAGGCTCACGAAATATTCCAAAATATGTTCCAAAAGTGTGACGTACAAGCAGCTACAACTCCATGTGACGTTCCCAACCCATATTGGGACAGACAGTGGCGTGCGTATATGGGTTCATAATGATTGTGGTTCAACAATGCATATATTCTAATAAAACATGAACATAAACTTTATAAAATGTTTTCAGGAATCATCGATACATTTAGTGAAGTTAGTAAGGTTATTGCGATTGGCGCGGTTGCTGCAGAAAATGGATCGCTACTCACAGTACTCAGCGTTGATACTGACGCTCCTTATGCTATCGTTTACGCTAGTGGCCCACTGGCTGGCTTGCATCTGGTTTATTATAGCTGAAAAAGAAATTGATGTTCATAATAATGAAGAACAGTGGGATCTAGGTTGGTTATAAGGCTTTTGAGTACCATAATTCTAGCTGTGTCTTTGTCTGCTTAGCATCAGAAAAAGTTTGGTTTCTGATAATAATAAAAATGGTATTTTTAATAAATCTTTTCAGGTTGGATGCATAATTTAGCAGAGAGATTAAAAATGCCAGTTCACAATGTATCACATGGCGAAAGTTATATCACAGCATTATATTTCACATGTTCATCACTAACCAGTGTGGGCTTCGGGAATGTGGCCGCCAACACAGTTCCCGAGAAAATTTTCAGTATTCTTGTAATGTTGATTGGAGGTAAAAAACGAAAGATCATCTTTTGTCCGTAACGTCAGATTCATTTTACCGTTAATACTTCCTAATTCTGTCTTTATCTGCCATAAAGCCGAGGAGTCTTTACAAAACCCCCAATCCTATACAACAGAACCAAGTCGGAATTGTTAATTTTTACTCAAAGAGAGTAATCAACTTGCCAAGCTTAGCATTAACGTAGACGTATTGAATTGTTAATTTAAACTAGATAATGAGGATGATGAATACATTAATATTAGTTGGTAATTTAAGATTTATAATGGAAATGGAATCATTTAAAACGGGGTTACATATTTACAGCCCTAATGCACGCCGTGGTGTTCGGGAACGTAACTGCTATTATCCAAAGGATGTACTCACGCCGGTCTTTATATCAAAGTAAATGGAGAGATTTGAAGGACTTCCTTACTATAAACCAGGTTCCGAAAGAACTAAAGCAGCGCATGCAAGATTATTTCCAAACCATGTGGTCGCTCAATCATGGTATCGATATACATGAGGTAAATATGACACTATTCTATTCATTTCGTTAATTCGCATCTTTAATTTCACGAGAAGACTGATTCTGTGTCATGTCAAAAATTGACCTTTGAGATTGGCCTAGAATTTCACATACGGCGAGAGACGGCACGACATGTACATAGACATTAACCAGAAACAGGCGGCTGGAACTTCGTAGATATCAGTTCTATGGAGCAAATGTAAACAAAGAATTATAAACCTTGAATTAAACGAAATGCGTTGAAAAAGAAATAAAAAAATATTTATCTCCGCAACTCTCTCCGTTCTGGCCACACAGTTTGTGAAGATGAAAAGATAATCTGTTATTATTATATTAGGCTTTTATTCCTTAGTCTCTTTTATGTTGGTAATCGCGAAGTTTAAAGCGTAAATTTAATATACGGTCCGATCACTTTGAAGTCGAAGTGAACGAGGTAAATGTTCTTAATTTTTAAACACTTGCTTGTTTATAATGGGACGGCCAAATATAAGTCAAGCGTTTGGAAATTGTTGACCGTCACACCGACATTGACACAGCTAACTTTGATTTAACATTCTACATTAGTGAACGAACGAAAGAACTACATTAATTAGTAAAACTGTTGAGTTTTTCTTCCATTTACTGCTATACGTATTTTTAAAGGTGAATATATTTGTTTAGATACACGCTAAACTATATTACTCTTAAGGTATTGGCCTTTATTGAAGGCAAATTCAGTAGATATACGAAGTTAATCCGATACGAATTGAAGTTGGCTGGATAAACCAAAACCAAAAGCCAAATCGAAACGTTACTGTAACAACGTCTAATTAATTGTTTGCAGACTTTGAAGGAGTTCCCTGAAGAGTTACGGGGGGACGTGTCGCTCCATTTACATCGGGAGATTCTATCGCTTCCGATATTCGAGGCAGCCTCTCAGGGCTGCCTGAAGTTGTTATCGCTGCATATTCGGAATAATTTCTGTGCCCCTGGCGAATACCTTGTGCATAAAGGGGATGCGCTAACCTACATCTATTATATCTGCAATGGATCTATGGAAGTTGTTCAGAACGATATGGTAGTTGCTATTTTAGGTAGGTATTCTCAGGCTAAACTCTATTTATTACGAAACGATTCGATAATTAAATCGTCGACGCCTTATCAATAATATACGAGTATATTGCCAATTTACAAATTGTAAACGATCAATTTTTGAACCGTCTTTCGTTGCAAACGAGTAAACGACGGAATATTAACAAGCAAAGACAAATAAATACTGACCTATAATGGATGTGTGACGTAAATAAACAGTTTTCATATATGTGAATGTACAAATACTAATGAATAGTTGCTTTCGTCGAACAGGTAAAGGAGATTTAGTGGGCTGTGATATGAATGCCCATTTACAAGCGCACAACGGAGCCGGAGGTGCTCCTAACACTGACGTGGTGGTCAAGTCGAGCTGCGATGTTAAGGTACTTCTTTTCCACCGTAGATCGTAATAAGTTAGCAAACATCAGGCTCTCAGTAAATAACATACTTCTCATTTATAAAACCATTCTGAAACCTTCCAATCAATTCCCATGTCATGATCACACAGAGGATACTGAATGTTACATTAAGATCACTTTCTAACTTTCTTTGGCTCCTCACCAACAATGATAGCTACTGCTACTGGAGATGAACACAGTTAAAGATGAAATCCACAATGACTGTTGACAAAACAAATACTGTTCTGTACTGTGTTGTAAATATTCAAAAAGGCATGAAAACACCCTAACGAACTAGCAGCCAAGCTGACAACGCGAAACTATGAAAAGCGCCTTAAGCGGAAAGATACTCTGTCCCTGTAGAGACGACACCGATTAAATAGTAGATGCCCTCACTCACTGGAGTACATGCTCGACGTGTGAAACTCACCATTCCACGCATTTGCTTATAGTTTGAAAATGATTGTAAATAAAACAAATATACACAAAAATATGCATTTATTCTTTTTGTAAGTTGTATTTAGATCTTTGAAGTGGATTTAATTCATGCATACATAAAAACAAAGCATAATAAACCATCATAGATTATAGTGGCTGTTCCATATACACACAACATTTTGCATTCAAAATCATCAATTGGGTTTATATTAAATACAATATCATGTTTGTGTTACGCGTTAAGTGGAAATGCTTCTTTGATGTGTAAACTTGAGATTAAGCTAAATTTCGTTGACCCAATGCCTCCCTGTAATGAGATATCTCGAGCTTTTTCATTCAAGTGTATTGCAGGCTTAAGCAATGCAGAGTTGGGTTAGACAAATACTTTGGCCCCATTAAACAGTATGCGTTTAGTAAATTTTCTTACCATCTATTTCCGCTTAGTCACTGTTTCATTTAGCCATACAGAGCATTGCATCTATTTATATGTCGTTTAATCCATTGATTTTCCAACCACACAGGCGTTAACATACTGTGACCTGAAATGCATACATATGGGTGGTTTAGCCGAAGTTCTGCGGCTTTACACTGAGTATCAGCAAGAATTCATCCATGATATACAACATGATCTAACTTATAACCTCCGTGAAGGATACGAGGCAGAACAAGAATCAGATGGAAACGGACATCCTTCATTAACATTGCCCTCAATATCCGAAGATGATGAAAATGCAGTTGAAGATACAGCACTATCACCGAAAAAGTCTATTCCTATATCCAATACAAATAGTCCCCGACATGCAAAATTCAGGTTAGATAATTTTTTTTTTCTTTATTTACAGCAAAATGCGTAATACAATAAAGGTGCGGAAGTATTGCGAATATTTTCAGGTCGGACGGGCAACAGCGGCTTACACACAGAGAGTTAAGAGAAAGAATAGAAAGACAAAGGTCCGTCGCTACACCCAAAATCAGTAGAGCGGATTCTTTAGAAGGGCTAAATTTAGAAATGCACAACACTAGGTCATCAGTGGAAAGGCTGGATACGCAGGTGTCAAGTTTACACCACGACGTCGCGGCTTTGAGCATGGAGGTAAATATGTCCACCGGTCAACATAATGTATGTATACACAAAATCAGAGTCCACATAAAAAGTTCACATGACATTAAACAAACTTTGGAGACATGCTATTATTATCTCATTACATTATTAGAATTCTCACAGACAATGTATTTTGTTAAATATCAATATAGGCTTCTAATTCTAATAATTAAGTAATGGCACCCTTGTGCCCTATATAAGTATACAAGGCAGAAGAGTGTCATTCGACTGTTCATTTGACGTCATCTATTGACCCATTTGTCATCAATGCGACAAGGAATTTGTATTAAGATACGTTATCATTGTTATCACAGGAAAAACTGAGTACATTTTAGTGTACCCCTGTTACCGGTACATGGGCGCTAATGTCACATTGTTTACTCGCAGGTTCGAAATGCAATCCAAGCTCTGCAAGAGATGACGACGGGTCCTGCGGGCTGGCATGCCGCGCATTCCAATCCGAATCTACAGTGGAATCAGCCACCTAATCAACTCGCTAGGAGTTGTAGTCACCCACCCGACGTTTTTTGTTGGGATCAGGTAATTATTTATACTAATACTCAATGTGGTGAAATTATTTATCTATACATATGCAATTTCCTAAATATTGTGGATGATTTACAGCAAGAGAGGCCACTTACGCCTGAGCGACCAAAGGTGCATAGGTACACGCAGACAGAACCATTCCTTCATTTAGTCACACAATACATAATGGAACACCCAGCGACAGTCATGCTACTTTTGGGTTTAGACCCTATAGTGACTCCAGTGATGCCACCGGGCGTTGAGTATTATGACACGCGAGGTTGCCGGCCCAGCATGCTCGAACAAATTGTTGAATCAGAAAACGGGAGCCAAAGTCCATCTAGCTCAGGTAGTGAGAAAGTTGATCACAGAAGCCTCAGTGGAAGTGCCAAAGAACTCGATTTACAACCAGAAGTGAAAAGACTATTAGAAAAAGACTATAGACCCACTAATTTAAGGCGGAACAGATACTCTGCAAGTGATATATGTGAAGAGTCAGAGCGACTTCTATCTGCCAGAGCACTGCATCCAAGCACGCGCAGTCTAAAATTCAATATTAACAGTTAAGAATAATACACCTTGTTACCATTTTACTACGTTCTGCTCATTAGTAGTTAGACTTTAAAAGTATACATTTATAAAAAATCAGTCTCTGTACCTATATTAAATAAAGATCTTTAAATTAGGTAATCCAAAAATAAGTTGGTTCTCGTATTACTTTTCGTTAACGAACTTAAAAGTATTGCTATTGTGTCAAAGAGAGTTTAAATGAAACAAAAAGTTATTTGGGCATTTATTTGTGCTATCTTTTTCGGAGGTATACTATTTTAGAAGATGTACATATCAATTGCAATGGAGAAGTATTTTTAGATTAGAATATTAGTTATTCAGTGAATATCTATAGTTACTAAGTTGTTCAAAGAGATGGATGAATAATATTGCTTAGTCATAAATACATGAATAAATAAATCAATACAGATAATGCTCGTAATCGCAGAGGCATCTTAAATGTACTTTAGCATTATATTTTATATTAATGTTTACATTATTAATTTCTAAAACACAAAGTGGGGCACTATACCATTTCAGAGACAACAATTGATTACATAGATTAGCTATATATTTATAATTTAGCAAGCAGTTATATTAATTGCAATACTTTTAGAACTCCTGCCGTTAATAACGACGTTATTATGAGCGATGCCACAAGGGCGCTGCCGGTGCGTTGCATCGTCGCAATATGATTTCAATGCACCGAGCGCCACACGAGCAATGCGGTACCGCAAATTAACATCGCTTACTTTCGCAACGCAGCACCCCTTCCCGCTTCGAGTCCAGCAACTCGATTTTGATTGCCTCTCCCGATCGGAAACTGCGTCTTTTCCGAGTCGAACAATAGTTGATTTAAGTCACAAATTAGAAAGATATTGTAGGGATTAGGTTCATCTTCTCGCTCGGAAACTCTTCTGATTTCGAGACTACCCGATCGGTTCGATTTTGATTTGAATCTAAATCATCAGAATGCTGATCCCTTGTCCGACGCGCACGCGTAGGTACCGTCGCGTCGTCTGTGCTGTTTCAACGCAACATGTGAAGAGAAGTTAAATGTTATCTATTTCCATAATTCATAAATTCACGTCCTTCACAATCGAAGGATCCTGTTACTTTCAAAATATACCAATACTAACAGTGTTCAACACTTAGGTATTGCTAATTTAGTAGTCATATGAAAAAAATCATATATTTTAAAGTTATCCATGTACTCGATGTTTAAAAATGTGTAGTCTTTTGTGTGTTTAGAATTTAGAAATTCAATATTAATGGAGGACACACAATGATCAAATATATTATTGAAAGTCGCTTCACTTGTGGTAACATGCTCTGGTATCGAAAGTAGGCATCATTATTTAGTACCTACTATTTACGTGTCACGTAGGTACTTACTAGGTCAATGTTGGGTGGGTGCGGTTACGTATATATATAACTTACCAGAGCTATTTTTTCGGATGCATGTTGAATGTGGTCGGTAAAAATTGTTTACAACAAAAGAATTTACATCAAGCAAAACGTAATCTGATCTCAAGGACATTAGACTCTATAGCATAAGATATCAATTTAATTGTCTTCCTTTCAATATAAATAATTAGTATTCCTATTGTACTTTATAGATATAAACATAACGTTCACAAAATAGTACTTTTTATAATTGTACGTAACAATAGACTAATAGACTACACATGTTAAAAAATGTGTGCCAAAAAAATTTGTGATTACAATAAGAGCAAAGACATACTATGTCAGAAAATAGTTCGAAAGATGTAGAGACAAAATATCTGCAGGCTAACCATGTGGGGTGAATTAAGTTAAGCAGTCTTTCCGGCTCAGTGTTGCCATTTTTTGTAATTGTACATAACAATAGACTAATAGACTACACATGTTAAAAAATGTGTGCCAAAAAGATTTGTGATTACAATAAGAGCAAAGACATACTATGTCGTAAAATAGTTCGAAAGATGTAGAGACAAAATATCTGCAGGCTAACCACGTGTGGTGAATTAAGTTAAGCACCCTTCCGGCTCAGTGTTGCCATTTAAATTACCGTTTATACCAATTCTGACAAATATTTCACAGTATTGGCGTTTTAATAACAGTTTAAAAAAATATATTTGGAAATACTCAACACTGAACCGTAAAAACAAAACATCAATCAATGACTTATGCGGTCAGCCGGCAGCACGTACATTAAGAAATTAGTGAATGTATGTATATTTTTAAATTTCTCATTAGTATACAAGATTTTTAAAAATCTATAACTTTCCATCACTTAACAGTTTTCTATGTTTTTTTGTTACCAAGTGACGAGACGAACAAGTCTTACGACTGGTGGTAAGCATCTGTTTCAGTGCCACTCAGAGCTTTATTGCATAGATCTGAGGGGCACTGCCACTGCGCTCGTCACCCTGAGACATAAGTTGACAAATCCTATGTGCCTGTAATTTCACCAGCACCCTTACCATTGACGGCAGAAATAGGTAACGAACTCTTTTACAAGAAGCTATACTGCTACTAAACTAATAAAAAAATTATGAATTGTTCATTAATTCGATGATTTTCTAGAATATCAGCTTATTGCAAAAACACCTACTTCATCAGGAAGATGGCTTTAAATACCGAGGCCTGGTGATAATTTGACCAGTATCTCATTCTCAATAAAATGTTAACATATCGCACTGCCAATACAATAGTGTTGTAACTCAAAATATGTGAAATTTAATATTATATCATTACTGAATGTAAAACTTGATTCTCTACACTTCAAAACAAACGTCGTTAGAATATTGTAAGAAACAATCAAAAAACATCTACTTAACTCAAAATGAGACATACTTTATGTGAGCTAGTCTGGCCAAAATAATCCTTATTGAAAAACATGAAATTATTTTTTCCATTTTATATTTTTATATTTGATAAATGGTTTAAGTGTCTATAATAAACTATAACATATAAATTGTAATGATTTTTTTGCAGGAAGTAAGTAATTCGTTTTTTATCGATTCTGACAACGTCCTCTTTTTGAGTTACAACACTATTGTAATAACAGTGCGATATTCTGAATACAAGTCAAAGTCGAAAAATCATTATTTTTGTTTGGGCCTCATTGTTCAAAAATAAAGTATATACATGAAGTGTACAGCGCACACCGTAACCATCGTATAGCAACCAGAACTAAATTTAAAGGATTAAATATTATAGAACAATTCAACCGGCGGTTACAGAGATTAATTGATTGTAATATTTCTCCGTGCAAATAAATTAAGGCATGGGGCTGTGCCCATTTTACCTACACGGAGTACCATAACACGTTGACAGTACTTACAGTTGTACGAAGCTTGAATTCATCTCGTGTGTCTAGTATGAATACTATCACATAACTGTAAGTTTAAATATTATAAACTGTAATAAGGCAATAATTCACCATCGTCATCATCATCAGTCAACGTGCGTTAACAGCGTTGTATATGAAGTTCATTTATAACATATCAGATATCTACGAGAAATCTACCTACTGTGTAAAAAACCTTCAGTGTTAGGTACTTTTAAGTAACACGAAGTAATAAATAGTATAGTCAAATGCCTTAATATCAATACACTTATTCAAAATTAAAATAAATTTTTTGTTGGCAGCGTTCTTTGAAACCATACAATATTTCGCAAAAGTATTGATTGATAACATTGACACATGTTAAAATGCTAAATAATTTTAAAATTTCAACAAACGTACTCGTATCTGGAGATTTTACGAATTTTTATTTCGTTACTTGTATACCTGTTAATGCAAATGATTGTGCCGACATTAGCAAAATAAAAGCAAATAGTTGCATTTGTGACTATGCTATAAATATTAGAAGTCAATTCATTTTAATAAAAATATCGTCATTGCATTGAAAATTGACGGAAAGTACATACTTAGAAAATAAGTGTTTTGTTTTTCAAAGATTTATTCTAATGAATATGTAAATAGATTTCTCATAACTTTGCAAGCAATAACTTTACAAACTGATTCAATGTTACTGTCCTTTTAAAAATACCCAGTATTTGTAATTAGGAAAAGAATTACGTCAAAATTAGACTCCGTCTTATTTTTATTTTGTCAAGTACTCTTAGTGTTAATTTTTACTTTTTCAATTATTGCTCACAATTTTTATTCTACACAGTAGGAATTCTTAAGAATGATAAAGTGATTGGAGCTGCATCCATCTATCGAGAAGTTACATCTCAAGAATTGCAATTAATTCACGTAAGGAGAGGAGCCTCTTCTTGAAACCACTCGATATATTTCTGCATTTTGCAAATGAGTAAGCACATCTTTCGACAAACGGATCTCCTTTAGATACCTTTTCATGAATAATACATTTTTCTCTAACTTGATGGAATAAAAAAAAATGTCATCATGTACGCCCGGGAACAGGAACGTCCATTAAATGGTATCCTTTTCAATGCGATCGTCACTGGTCTCGAGAAAAGGCCCCAGGAGGACTGTAACATCTATTTAGCGGTACTTTGTGTGGCTATCCCACATCTATTAATCGTCCGAACATAGATACCGCTATTGTGAAATTCATGTTGGTCTAAATATTTATTTAAATTATTTTCCTTCGGAAGCTGGGAGGTGCCAGTATCTGATAATAAATTGTTATATCTAAGAACGTAAACGCTTATTAGAATTACTGAATATTCGAAGTGTTGTATAGAGCCCATGAATGTGATATGACGAAGAAACACGTGCAGTGCCTAAATTCTAATTTATTTATTACTTACTTCTGTAACTATTGAAATCTTAGTGTTTTATTACTATTGTAGGCACTATGAATGTGCATACGGAACAATATTTTGTACATAGATAATGTTAATTATATCTTTTTTCTTGTAGTACAAAGTATTAGTTACATAAAAATTTAATAAAGACGAATGGATGTTAGAAGGTTACTTTTATTGATCCAAAACCAATTGATTAAACCTCAATAATAACAACTTAAAGCCACGGAGAAAGGGCAGTTAATAATCATCGATCAGAATTTTCTTGAACTCTTTGCTGTGCTTGTTTAACCGAAGTTTTAATAAGATTGTAAGTGGAAGTAAGCAAAACTCGGTAAACATGGGAGGTGATTCTAATGTTTGGTAAGTAACGAACTGAGAAATGTAGGTCATGCGACCGAGCCCGCAACTCCTGAATTTACAGAAGAGAGGTCACCCGGGAAACGCTGCTGCTCTCCCTTACGTAATTGAGTTAACTAGATAAACGATGTGCTGATGTACATTTAGTTTTATACTATTCTTGTAGATGGCTTTTTTA